CCTAATCCGCAACTTTTGGGCGTCCATGTGATGGATTTGACATCCCTTCAAAATGGGGGTTATTTGTGATGGAATTTTGCAGTAAGGTGTTTATAAATATCTAGGGCTCTTTAAACCCCATTAACTCTAATTTGTAGTTTGGTTAAAAGATCCCATGCATGGCACGGGTTCTGACTAGTACTATCTATGAACCAAAAGGACTCCAAAGACATTGCACCCGCAAATCGTGGACATGAGGACATCTCTCAAACTTGTATGCTGTCATTCATGGAGAGATGTTCCTAACACACGGCCGCAATGTGTAAATTAGTGTGGGGAGCAGATTAAGATTCAATAACAATGAACGTTGTCGATTCAATCTAAAGTGTCTTGAACAAAGAAAAATAATTATTTCCATTAAAGTGGAATCTTTTTTTTTTCGTTTTGATGATTATGTTTGGTTTGAAGGAAAATGGAGGGAAAGGAAGGAAAAGGTAGGGAAACGTTTACAATCCTTATATTGGTTTCCCTGTCTTTCCCTTCTTTTCTCTACCTTTTCCTTCAAACCAAACGTAGCCTAAATTCTAGTGAGGATCAGGGCCTATTTATGGCATAAATAAGTCAAACAACAGGCTGTTGATCATTCATCTAACCTTAATCACAATTAAGATCCCACACCAGAAAAGAAAACAAGGAGGTTGGGTCCTGTGGAGCCATTTACAGAGCTGTAGACCTGTAAATAGTGGCTACCGAGCTAAGGTCAAATGGTATTCATTAATTGGGGACTTCTTACCAGAACGAATGCTACTGATGGAAAACCACCTTGTCATGGAAATACACTTCACTATTATCTGACCCTAGCACTTCAGTTCTAAGCATCAGCATATAGCTCATTAAATGCTCCTCCATTAGCTCTTGGTGCCTCCATTATGCCAATATTATTGTTATTGTAATTGAGAACTCATTTGATTGGCTTCTTTTTTGTGACGGTGTTTTTGGAGAAGAGTGGAAGGATGCATTGGCAATCTGAACGAAATTTTGAGTTCCAAGGCAAATGTTCTTTTGGTACAGACACTCTACTTAGGCAAAGACAGAAGCTATGATTACAAAGCTTCTTGTACGTCTGAATTACATTTGGAGATATGGAAGGGGGGAGGGGGGCTCTGAAACTGAATCGTCCAATTCTCTAAGCTAATGAGTGGATGAGATGGGTTGAAGAGAAGTTTAATTTTTCAAATGTGATTGATTATTTTCTTTCTTGAGTTTTTTCTTTGTTTTTTATAAAGTGATGGAGAGTTTAGGCGCTGTTTCATTTTGTTGAGGGAGAAGATGACTAACAGTGTTTTATTTTTAAGAGTAATTTTAATATTTTCAAAAGTCTTAATCTGCACTTGATGTCATGTCATACACATAACTGACGGTTAATTGATGATAGGTACTGGATTGGCAATAGGCCCAGAGTACTGGGTACTAATAGGAAATTTTTCTTATGATGCCGAAAAGACATGATACTGAAATAACTTCTTACCAATCAACCAACATCATAGAAATAGGAATCCATGATAAATTTTCACCAAAATTCATGGAGGGTTGGGATTCAAAGCATTTTCGGTATTTCCAGCATTGATATTAATAATAAAATCTTTGTTGATGGATATTGGGATATAAATACACACATTGCTTTTATCAAAATTTGAATGGATCCAACCCAAATGCCCCAACCAAAACAGTATAAAATGTTAACCTACACCAATCCAAGTTGCACTCCCGGTCTTATTTTAGTTTCACCCTAACATAGTGCTGTTAGTTACTTAATGCTGGAGAACCTCACCAGGTCAAACATATCGATTGAAGCTGAACTTTGGGCAACAAAAATATTCCGTGGACAGAACAAACAACAAACTTTAGTGTGAACATATTGAATGTCTTTTGGCCTTTTTTTCTAACTTATCCTTTATACATAAAAAAATAAAACAAAACAAAACAAGATGGAAGCCCATGCAACTTAGCTAAATGGGCCAGGCTAAGAAAGGCGTTTCTTATCTTTTCAGAAGTTAGCCCCAAGCCTAAATATATCTCTTATACTTGTAGTTATTGGGGGTTAGTATGATATATCATTAGTTGTTAATCAAAACACTAGTGTTTGAGATTTTAGATTAAAATCCTTAATGTTTTGATCTTAGGATACCAGATGCCCAATACCCAAACCTATGGGGATTCTTGAGATAATAATTGTCTTATGTTACCTGAGCAGTATCTCTTTTTAATGGTGTTTTTAGTGCTATCGGCACCAACCTGTTTAAACCCACCAATTAAAATCGCAAGTCTTTTCTAGAAGACCTATTACAAGATTTGATAATTAAAAGATAGAGTGAGTTTTTACAAATAGATCTTGGAAGACCAAGGTGAGGTTTAGTACCGTTTATGTTTATTCAATAAATGTTTCTTGATGGTGCCACATGGGTGCCATTTCAACATTTTTTCTCTCTTGCTCTTACATCGAAAATATAAAAAGTGAACTTTGGTTTATATGCATGCCAGTCGTTTATAGAAATTATTTTTTGAAGCTTCTACAAACGGCCAGGCGTTTATTCACTGTTACGCTGAAGTGTGGTGCCTCGTGGCGCCCAATTGTCATAAATGGTTGCAATTATTGCATTTTCTGTTTTACCAGCAAATAAAGTACAAACGTTTATTCAATAAACATAAATGGTACCAAACACATACCAAAGACTAATTGGTTGAAATATTTTTAATAGATCTCAAGAAAGATCATAAAATCTAGAAGACTGTTTGGTAATGTTATGAAAATATGTGTGTTATATATATATGAATGTCTTGTGTGTGAGTTAACGAACCTTTTATTTAACACGTGGGACTCCCATACATTTTCTAAAGTGGGCCCCACATACATTTTACAAGGTGGGCCCGACATACCATTGGTGGGCATTCATGTGGGGTCCATGTGTGGACATCTATGTGGGGTCCACATACATTTTTCAAGGTGGACCCCACATACCATTGGTGGACATGTATATGAGGTCCATGTGTGGACATGTATGTGGGGCCTACGTATATTTTACGAGGAGGGCTCGACATATCATTGGTGGACATGCATGTGAGTCTATGTGGACATGTATGTAGGCCCCACATACATTTTCAAGGTGGGCCCTTGTTGAAAGACAACCCATTTTTCTCCCAAACATGTGCATCATGCCACATGTTCGAAGAAGACGAGGCACAAAAAGAATGGAAAAACTTCATTTGAAGCTTCCTGAAAAAGCCCAAATTCAGACTGCTGATGTCTTTTATGGGCTACAGCTTTTTCCCAACAGATCTTTCCATTGCCAAAACATGAAAAGCCCAGAATTTAAGCTTTCTAGCTTCTAAACATCCCCAAAACCCGTGCGAAAAGATTTAACAAACACAGCCATGATTAAATGATAATCAGATGAGACATGTCATAACAGGTTTAACGGTTTTAGGATTGGATGGGTTCGAGAAATTGGGAGGAAAAGTTAAAATGGATTTGGGATGTGCTTAATATCAAGAGTGGTTAGATGGGTTTGGCAGTTTGAGAAGAGAATAGAATAGGAGAGGAAATTTTTACGAATACCTTACCCGTTGCGAGCCCTATTTAAGCCTTCATACAAGAACGAGAAGAAAGTTAATGATCAAATCATGTTTCAGCAATCCAATTCTCAGGCGCTTGTCACATGAAAGGTAGAATTTGCTTCTCGTTCTTCTCTTTCTCATGAATCGAAGCCTATTTTTGTTTATGGCCGGCTGTTTGAGAGACTTAACGAAGTCCTTATTTCTCTGTCATGTCCATCTGTTGGCCTTCTGGTTTACTTCATGCTCTCTTAGGTATTTTATTAATGCTTTGTACCGATTCAACTTCAACTTTGTTTTGTAATGAACAGTACCCCGGACACTAGCATAGCATTTGCCAAACGAGAGGATTAAGGTTACCATTGCATAAATTTCAGGCTTAGTACTTTTAAAGCTCAAAAGCACAAATTTCTGATATTTTCTACTCTGGGGCTTAAAAGGTGTTTTTACTTTGCTAACTTTTCTGGTTATAAGGGAGACTTGGGTTCAAATCCTGCTGCCCCTAGAATGGATTGCAGGGCGGATTCAATACTCACAAAATTTTGTCTATAGCTTCTCAGAGCCCTTTTCAATCATACATTGGGAACATCTCTGTATTTGTATTTTTTATTAAAAGGAAAGTATTCTTAATATATGGCTGAAAAAGGCTGTAAAAGCGGTGTAAATACAATTTTGTGAGTACCAAATCCAATTTCAAGGGATGGGCTGTCTCCCACCCTGTTGTGACTGCGTGGCCTCAATAAAATAAAAGGAGGGGTGACATGTTTATGTTTAAAAATAATTCTTAAACATAGAACCTGTGATGCATGGTGTTATAAAAGATGTAATTCGTTGAACGTGATAGTAAAATTACATTTTGTTTACTTTCATAATTTAACTTGAATGGTCGAGATTTTAGTGGAATGCAATGTAGTTGAACAGAACTCTTCTTTTTTTTTTTTCAAAGTTCAAAAACCAAACTATTATCCAAACGGAACCTTATTTGTTTACTTTCATAATTCAATAAAATAAACCTTAATTTCTCCAAACGGAACCTTATTTGTTTAGTATTGATGTGTTGATCATTTGATAGACCAATGCCTCATTTATCCTAAACATTGCAGATAGAATGTAATTTTCAATTCACCTTCTTTGTGTTCCTTCAAATTTAAACCTTCATTTGATGTAAAATTTAGTTGGAAAATCAAGTTTTGGGAAGGGGAAGGAAGAATAGGGCGTTCGGTTTCTTTCTGTATCGGAAATGAGAGGCAGAAAGAATGGGATTTTAACCGAACACATGGTGATCAAATATTTGTCCGATAGCACCTCTCTCTCTCTCTCTCTCTCTCAACGATCAAAATCTAGAGACAACGTGTCAGTGCATTCCACGGCACCTCCTCCCAATGGATCTCCGTTTTCTTTATTTCCTTGATTCAGCAACACTAATCATCTAATTAATTGTTTAACCACTTCATATTTAACCAGGATTCTTCTTTTTCTTTTCCTCTCCCTCTTTCTTTCTCTCTCTCTCCACCGTCATCTCTCGTTCTCTTCCTCTCATTCCCTTCTCTCTCTCTCGTGTATCAGTGGATGGCAAGGACAAACAAGTACGCTTCTATCAACTTCAACGACATCTACGAAAAGAAGAACAATCTCACCACCTCCAACAAACCCAACTCGGCTTCCTCCGCTTCGCTTGCAACGATCAATCCTCCTAAAGCTCACCTCTACGCCACCCGAACCCATGGCGGAATGCTAGTCTTGAGCCGTCCCTCGCCCAAGCCCCAGCCCCAGCCCCAGCAACAGACACAATCACAGCCTCTACCTTCTCTTCCTTCACCACCGCCACCAACTAAACCCGATTCCGATCGAACCCGGATCGAGCAGGAGTCTATCTCCCTGCGTCCCTTGGGTCGGACGGGTTCCTCCCTCACCTCTTCCCCATCCCCATCCCCATCTCCGTCCCCGGCAACATTAACCAAAGAAAGGGTTCCCGAGACTCCGCCGCCTTCTCTGCCATCGCCGAAGCTGGAGATCTTCGTTCCTCCGCATCTGCGGCCTGGATTCGTAGGCAAGGAAGAGAGGTTCATCCAAGAAGGGCATAGGCAACAGGGGTTTCGATCTCGTGAATTGGGACACGGAAACGGGCATCACGGTTCACCGAATCGGTACGGCGAAGATGGGCGCCCCAAATCGGGAGGGCACGAGCGGATGCGTAGAGGCAGCGGCCTTGGCGGTGGCGGGGGAGATTCGGATCCAGCTGACATGAATAACAGGCCGAGGTCAAGTGGAAACCATTCGAGTTCGAGTGGGTGGTATGGTTCTTATAGATCTCCTCAAAATCATCAAAATCACTTTTAGTTGATCTAATGGAGGGACAGAGATTGGTATTAGATCGACCGTTGTTGTGGTTTAAACAGAAAAGAAAAAAGAAGAGAAGAAGAAGAACCTTCAATTTAAGTTTGCTGATCAGATATTGTATCTTTGCTTGTTTATTTTGCTTTTTAATTTCTCTGCTAATTTTCCTTTAATTTGAGGGGCGCACCACACACGTTTGTAGAAGATCAGTTTTTGGGAATTTATGTGCTTAATTTTCAACTTCTTTCTTCTTCAATTAACTAAATTTCCAATCGTTAGAGTTAGTTTAATCTATTGATGTTACATAAGTTTGCAGATAATCAATCATTAACAGAAAATTAAAGGAAGAAATGAAGTAAATAAGATAAAAGAAATTGCACGGTTTCAACCAGTAAAATGAAAAGATTGATTGATCATTTCGATGATGTCATCTGAAGCAAAATTTTTATTAACTTGATTGAAATACAAAATACTTAATGATACTTGGTATTTGTTTCTTGCGGAATCTTTCAAATCCAAGTTTGAAGAGTAGATGTTGGAATTGTTTAACTTTTCCATTTTTAGGTGTAAATAATTAATCCAATTTCCAATAAATATTCTTCTCATTTGAATTATGTCATTAAATTCAAACAAATGCTCTAAATTCTTAAGAAATAATCTTCTGGAATCAATGGAACTATTGGGTTCTGTATATCATAATGGAAAGCATAGTTTTCAAGGTGCCAAGGCGAGGCTAGGCGAAAGGGGGGGCGCCTAGGCACCTAGGCGATGGATTTTTTTAAGTAAAAACATGTATCCTAGGGTAGTTCCCTAGGTTCCATAATCACATTTCCTTAATAAATATCCACAATTCTCATAAGAAAAGTATAAACTTCATGTTTAAGTATAGAAAATCAAAAGAAGAAGAAGAAGAAGAAGAAGAAGAAGAAGAAAATGTGTATATTTGTATATACACACACAAAATTAGTAAAGAAAAAGAAGAAAATGTGTTGATTCGACAACATTTTATGTTCTTCCTTACATATTGGTTCAGGTTTTGAAGTCTTTGAGGTTCAATACAGCATTTAGCAATATATGTGTTGATTAAACCCTAACAAATAAGAAAATAATAAAAAGAAATTAGTATATAAACACACAAAATGAATATTTTAGTTTAAAAATGTCTATTTTATAATTATAACCTCAAAAAATTAAGAATATAAAGGTTTTTTATAACACGCAATAGAAAACTGCTTGGCGATTAGGTGAGGTGAGCCTCCAAGGGCGCCTTGTCGCCTAGGTGGGCACCTAGACATCACCTTTACAACTATGATGGAAAGTTCCTTGTTTGTGGTTTTCTAGCAAAGTTCTTGTTGGATCCTCCTCTCCCACTTATCTACCAACTGTGTACTCCACAGATTATCTCACGGTCTTATATATTTTTCCAGAATTTTGGTTTTGATTTCAATTAAAGATGTTGTAGGGTGGTTTATCCGAGTTACTCTAACTTGCTCCAGAATTGGGAAAGGCTCTAGATTTCTATTCAATGGCATATAGGTTTGTTTCTTCTGTTTCTTGCACATTTGTTTTCCAGAAAATGTGTTTGGGCTATACAGTTTTGAGTTTCTTGTAACTTGATTGGTATCTGGGGTCTAATGATCCCTTCTCTAGTGTATTATGGATAGATTATCTGTTTTGCGTGTATTTATTTGCTCTCTTTAATTGATTTTAGAAAAGAAGCTCCTTTCTCCAGAAAGTTTGTATTAGGGTTGCTACTTGTAATTTGTTTATATTCCAGGAACACAGAAATCTTATCTTGGACTTGTGTAGTTGAAAATCCGAGGATAAGAGCACCCTGAAGATGAGACTTGTGATGGTGAGACATTAGTGGACAAATTTTGAAGAACAGTTCTGCCAACATTTCTCTCTCATGCACATACATTTTGTGCAAATACAAACAATTGTTGCACCTTTCATCCCTCTATTTTAAAATCCTTCTGAAGAATTTGTTTGGTGTTCTAACATTTGATTTTTGTCCCATTTTTGCTAAGCCTATTAATCTCCTGGTGAAAGACCTTGTGGTTTAGCCATGAAAAACCAAGCTAGGAGGGTGACCGCCAAACATTTATGTGGTGGTTCTGGACCCAAGATCAGATTCCATGGAAATTCAGGTCTGTTGGTGAGAATGGTTCTTACCCTAGGTAACAATTTGAAGATCTCATCCAAATGGGTTCTAAGGAGTGCAAATGTGTTAGTAGACTCTTTGGCAAGAGTGGGGATTGGGAGAGATAAGTCCTGAATGGGGTTGTCCTGGGCCGGGATGTAATATGTAACAAATCTTTTTCTGTTGTTTCTATTCTTCCATTTTGTTGTTGTATGATCTAGCTTTTATTGTTGGAAGATGATTGCATCATTGGCCAACTGGCCACTTGTATGAGCAGTCTGGTGTTTCTCTCCTGTTCAATGAAATGTTACCTGTTACTTATCCGGGAAAAAAATCCAAGCTAGAAGGGGGAATTCTTGTGTTATCTGAAAAGTTGTATCTTAAACAAGTGAAATCATTTATTTGTTCCAAGAATTGGTGATCTAGCTCAGTTTGGAAAGAGTTCAAAAACAAATATGTATGAGTGCAAAACCTTGCCTTCGAAGGAGTACAAATACAAATATGTACAATGCATACACATACAAGATGATATAAATTTAAGGTTTTTCACATTACATATTTGTATTTGTACTCTTTTGAGCCTTAGCAGCTTCTGATTTGAAAGAAAAGGGTAGGGAAAGGAAGGGCCCTACCTGTACAGGTTTTCCTACCTTTTCCTAACTTTTTCTTTCAAACCAAACCCAGCCTAAAATGTTTATGATAATTTTCAGTTTCAGATATTTTATAAATATTTATTAATGATAAGGAAGTATAAATGTGAAATATTTTTAGGTAATATAGAGTCAGAAAACACAACAAATAGGTCTGATTACTACATCGATGCTAAAAAGCTGTACCAGATATATCTCCCATAAGATCGATATGAGTTCCACCGGAGGATGGATATTGCACCATAGCTATATTAGCCTTTCTATCAGCACATCTATTAGCCTCCTTTTAGCAATGAACCAATAAAACAACTTCTATTTTTTTCAGCTGTTTCAAATTACTCCAAAATAGAGCCTCCATCTTTCAATTTGAACATTTCCTGAGTTGTTAAAGCCGAGATTGTGGATAAGGAGTCTTAACAATAAGCCTTTGAATTCTTCTGCTCCTCCCCTGCAACTAAGTGATCTCTAAATGGTCCTGCTGCAGTTATCAATTTTGGATTACCTTTAATAGCACCATCAGTATTAAGTTTAATCCATTCATTAGAAGGAGGTTCCAAATGAATGCTTTGCCATACCCTGCCATCATCACTTGAAAGTGGGTTAACAATGAAATACAATTGGAGATTGTAATTTATCTATTTTGAATAGATGTATTATTGATAGGCTTTCCCTGAAACATGTACTCATTCCTTGTCTTCCATATTGTCCATATCATATAGCACAATCTATATTTTTCAATGTGAAATTTCATGGTAGGCGTAATGATAGAATTGGTGATCTAGGTGGGATTTGTTTACATTGAAGCACCATTTTACAGGCAAACCTTTTATAGCTTAGATGTTGCTTGCTCTTTGTAGGGGTTGAGGGGTTATGATATTTTTCAATTTCTGGTTGTCTGCAAGGCACCATTTGTGGTTTGCACGCAAGCATAAACTAATATAACCATCCTCTGATCCTCTGCTGTTTGTTTGTATTCTGAAGGTTAATGGTCTTGTGATCATTCTGTCCATACTTTGTGCATAATCATACATGTCTTCTGTGGGACCTATTCAAATTATGTTTGACAGTTCTTAGGTGGGGGACACGTGGCAAAGAATGTGGGCTTATGATATCTTGTATCAAGCCCAGTTTTGATCGTCGGTCGTCACTCTTTTAAAGCCATGAATCGTGGCGCACTAAATCATGGACCATGGACCATAGATGGTGTGGGTGCAGCATCATTTCAGGGTATGGGTCTCGTTTAAAAGTTTTTACTTTTTGTCATATTATTAAGTGTTCATTTGGTTTGTTTTTCCGTGTTGTCTAACCATTAAAAGCCCGAGTGCCGAAAAGACGCGAGAGGTCCATTTTGGACTTTGTTTGGAAAACTCCAAATAAAGTTTTTTGTGTGAAAAGACATAGAAAGACGCATAAAAAGACATGTATCCACCAAACTAGCTTCGAGCTACTAAGATTTTCATGTAAAAATTTAATACATCTTTTGACTTTCAGAGATACCAGAAAATCTTGCCAAAAAGACTTATCAAAAATGCCCTAAAACATTTTGAGCAAAAAAAGTATCTGATATGGTTGATGAGATAAGTCATTCGGTGTCCTCCAAATATGTATAGCTGCAGGTTTTTTGTGACAAAATCAATGGACCATACCCTTAAATCCCCGCGATCTGAAATATGTAAATATGCAATATCAAAGCATCTTCTGCAGTTTCACATATTAATCCATCCTATAGTTTGCAACAGCATATTACTGTTTTTTTCTTACAAGAGAATAGAAATTGATGTTTTTAGCACTAAAGAATAAAATAAAACTTTGATATTTCTCCAGGTTTTGTTTCTAAAAGGTTGACTTGAGAGCTGTCAAGAGTATTTTTAAAATAAAACAAAATAAACTCTGTGCCTATGATCTTTCAAATTATTACTCATTTTAAAAGGTTATATTATATGATGATCATTGGCAAACAAAAGGGTGTTTTAATAAAATGCAAGCAATAGGGTAGGTTATAGTGAATACATGGAAGTGGAACAATAGGGGGTCTAGAGAGAGAGAGAGAGAGCTAAAAATCCCTAAATTAAATGACAAGCGCCTGAATCTCAATCCTTGTAAAACCTCTAGCCCAAAAACGGTCCTGTAATTGTCTTTCTGGATCAAAATTCAATACTATATCTCTCAATTTCAACACAAAATAATGGATAAAGAAGACATCTATTAATCCTTATTATTTGAATAGGCTACTAAATAAAGAAAAAAAAAATACAATCCTTTCAATGGCTTTTATCCCACATGGATTCAATGGATCCGATGAAAACATAAATTTGGTTCGTACTTCTTAATTCTTATTAGTAATTCCTTCCAGGTGATTCTAAATTGACCCATGATTTGAATAAATGCTTTTGCACCAAATTCCACAAATCAATTGGCAGGGAAATTGATACAGGAATTTGAATTCATCATCTTCTTGTTGACCAACCTGGCAGTGAAGTTCGAGGCAGGAATTGGAATGACCTTGCATCTTTATTTTATTTCAAGTTTTGGAGGATTAAATCATATGGAAGGTAGAAGCTGGTTTTAGATTTCCAATTTCGATAGATTGTCTTTGGATGTAGTGGGATGGGATGAATGAATACTACAAGGCAAAGTTGGGTATTTGTCTGTTCATGGGCTCCATCTTGTTTGTAGCACAAAGAAAACCAACAGCTTCATAAATTTATTATTTACTAGCATTCTTCTAAAATAAATAATATAAATGCAGAAAAAATAAAAACAGTTGCCCCAAGTTCATGGTACCTGATGAATAAAAAAGTTTACAAATTTAAAACATTGAAACCTTTGAATATATATATATATATATATATATATATACAACTCTGGCTTCTATTATTTGCATTGCCACATGAGCCAAAATGTATATATGCTGACCAAAGAGCAATGCTGAAACAAGGAAATAAAGTGATATAAAAGATTCTTGTACATGTGATGCTGCGTTGCCCCCACGGGAGCGATTTGCTGTTCATTATGCTGTGTGTGTGTGTAGATCGCTATTTAATCAATTATGACTGAAATGAAATAAATTTTATTATCATATGTTTATATATTTAACAAAAAAACCACATGCAAAGTAGTATTTTATAAACTACTTTGCAAAGTAGTTCAACCATCGAACCACACTTCATTTTGTATTGGTAAATGAAATGAAATAAAATAAATTTTATTATCATATGTTTATATATTTAACAAAAAAACCACATGCAAAGTAGTATTTTATAAACTAATAGAACAAATAATCTATCAAATCCATATTTATACAAAAAGATAATTTTTAAAATCAAGAAATTCATACAAATAAAATATTAATAATAGAATTATTAATTTAATACTTAAATTTTATAAATTTGCACATGATCATATAAATCTTAAAATTTGTATACATTTTAAAAATTATTAATTAATATTTTAATTTACATTAATAAGTTTTACAAAATATTGAAAATTACAATATTAAATTGAATCTATCAAATCAACTAATCTGCTTTTATTTCAAAATTTTATTTTTTATTCGATATAATTTATAGAAATAAAAATATTAATAATGTAATAATTATTTTAGTAATTAAAAATTATGAATTTGTATATCATATGTATCTTAGAAATTTTAACAAATTTGATATACTTTAAATTAACATTATATTTTTATAAATTATTAATTGGTATTTTAATTTACACTTGAGAATTCAATATTTATTTTATTTTTATAATATTAAAAAATTAAAATGTTAAAATAAAAAATTAATTAATATAATAATTAAAATATAATAGGTGCATATATTTAGTATTTTGGACTCTTGATTGATGCATTATAAATAAAATTATATGATATCTACACATCCCCATATATTAATTGTAATATACTTTTTTCATATATATACTGCTAAAAGATACATTTTATGTATTTACATATTATTTGTGACTATTTTAATCTTAAATTTAGTATTGCTAATGTATTTGTGGAATTTGTATATATTTCCCTAACGTATTCATGTGTTTTTATACTTTTCATCCATATCCATACATTTCCAAAACGTATCCGTATCCAACTTATCCAATACAATACTTGATACCAAAACTTTAATCCTTGATTTTAATAAATAATGACTGCTAAGATGACATTGAAAGTGAAGCAGCCATATTGATATAAATCCATCACAAGGCCATATAAAGACCCTAACAAATTTTTTATTATCATGCATGGTCTGCTACTCTGCTCTTGCCAATCTCTTTGATGGGTCCTAATAGTGATAGGCACCACTGTCATAATCTAAGTGTCAAAAGTGTGCCTGGTTCATCATGCAACAGTATAAAACCTGGAAAGGTTCTTAATTGCAATCAATTAACTTGTTTGTTGTTAAACAGAAATTCGGGACCTCTTTTGTCATTAAACAACATTTGAGAGCCCCCTTTTTGTTAATTTTCCATTTTATTAACACTGTCTAAGCATTGGTCATTGCTGTCGCATCAGAAGAAAGAAAAAAACAATTGAAGACCCTGCTCTGTTGGCTGTTACTTCATAAACAAAAAAGAATCACATGGGCAACGCTGGCATGACCCCGTCATACGCCTTAACCATTGTCCCCCTCCCACATTTCTTAGTTGTTACAATTAAATGTTCTCTCTCTCTCTCTCTCTTAAAGTCTTATCTACATATAATATTCATTCTGTACACATACACAGAGAGAGAGAGAGAGAACTCTTCTCATAGAATATGACACCATATCTCACATGGTGTCTTCACTGAGATCCATTCCTTTTCTCCTAATTGGCACAGAACTGAAGAATTAAATCACAAGGGTAAAATTCTACGCGGGTCTTTTGCTTGTAACAGATAAGCTGGTAGCTATGGAACTTGCTGATTTTTGCGGGTCTTCAGCATCCACAGACGGAAAATTGGAAGCCATGGAGCTTCTGGAGGAGTATTGGTTCTTCGAAAACTTGTTTGATACAAGAACAATCATGGATAAGTCTTCCTCTGATCCTTCTCTTTCACCAAAGAATTGCCAGAAGATTTCTGCCAAGAGCCCGGCCAATGAACTGCCTTCATCGGTAGCTGAAGTTCCGAGGAAAGATAGTTCTGCCCGTCATAGCTTGCGTCGAGCACCATCATTACCACCGTGCATAGGAAGGGGGAGATTGTCTGAAGAAGAAGAAGAAGAAGAAGAAGAAAGGCATCATGCAATGAGCAAATTGACCCGCCAAGCTTCACTCAATTCTTCAGACATCTTGCCACCCCGACATACATCTAAGGTACTATACTATAAACACACTTCAGTCTTCTTCTAATGCCAAGTAATCTAGTTTCTGATCTCTGCAAACCAATCTGAGTTTCAACATACATAGACGATTTAACCAAAGAAAAACAGTCATAATTTATTACTTTTAGTCCTCCTCAGTCTTTCAGTCTTCGATGTTAATATACTAATTGGGGTTGGATTACAGAATATGACACCAAGTCCCAGCATCCCAAAGCACCGAGCAAGAAGAGAATCCAAAGTCGTCAGCCCAAATCAGGACACCAAGAACCAAGGTTGCTCAAGTAAAGAGAAAATTCCCAAGAGGCTAACCCACAGGAAGAGCAGGAAAAGTCTAAGCGATCTGGAATTCGAGGAGCTACAAGGGTTCAAGGACTTGGGCTTCACATTCAACAAGGAGGACTTAAGCCCAACTGTGGTTAACATCATACCAGCTTTGAAAGAGAAGACTCAACAAAATTGGGACGAAGACAATAAGGTGAGGAGACCTTATCTATCTGAAGCATGGCTTGTACAAAGATCAGCCTCTCCAATGCCCAACTGGGTTCACAGTGAATCAGCAGGCGACATGAAGGCACACCTCAAGTTCTGGGCCAGGGTTGTGGCGTCTAACGTGCGGCAAGAATGCTGAGTCACTTTACCTGATAAGCACTGCTCAATGGGATGGTATTTTGTCATACTTTATCAAATTATCCTTCACTTTGAAATTTATGTCGTCTGCAGTTTGCACATATTAAAGGAATTCTGGGAACTGGGAGCGACACCCCTTCTCAGAATCAGAAATTAATAAGAAAAATGAAAGACCCAGCAGAGTCCCAAAGCACAAGATATCTCGCACAAACCCTTCAAAATTGATTATTCACATATTGCAACTTGTACAATATTATCAAGATCCTTTCTGTTCTAAGTTCTAATGCCAATGTCATGTTCTTCTTCAGTCTATTTGCATGGTGAATAGGTTGATTCCTTTCACCAGCCCTCCACACCTTACAACTAAGGGCTGGGTGGCTGCCCATTGCACAGTTGGACACTGTCTGATGCTTGAGCTCCAAGTGTCCATCAGTACGATGCTTGGAAGGGCGCTTGCGTCTAAGGAGAAAAATAATTGGACTCAATGAAATCCAGCTCATGCTATTTTCTTGCATCTTCAACCACCTAGTGTCCTAGTCTACCTGCAGCTGCAAACAGTCGATTCATGATGACCCAACCCAGAGGTTTATTATTGGTGGTGGATCATCAAGATGAGGATCAGTACAAATTTTGAAAGTTTTGTTTCATGGTTGGTGCCAATTTGTACGGCTAATTTGCTGTCCTAGTTGTCCCTGAGGAACCATGTTTTGGATCATCATGAACCGACTGTCTTGCAGCTACAGATAGACTAGAAGCCAGTACCCACGCATTCAACTGTCTGAGAAAATCCAGAAGCCAAGGCACTTCTCTATGGGGCCCAACTCAGAGTCACCAAAGAACTGGTTGAGTAGTCAAGTGCCAGTGACATCTTGTCATTCAAGAACCAGCTGGTTACAGCCTTACAGGCAAGCTAGCTAGTAGGCTAGCTACTGCTGAGTGCTACAGAGACTTAATTCGTATCGTGCTTGGCTTAATTAATAACCGACAAATACATGTTTCACTTGTTTTCTGTCTGGTGAAAGGCAAGCTTCAATTTGCCAACAATTTCCTTTGTCTGCTAGAAGAATCGCATGTCTTAGCCTACATCTATAGCTACAAACATCTACTCATCTATGGGGAAAGATTTGCATCAGAGAGCATTGAACTGACATTCATACTACAAAAATACCCGTATGAAAAACCCATCATCGTTTTCATATAGCAACAGCATTATGAACCTGACATAAATTTCACAACAAAATAGCTAGAACAGCACATAATCTAGAGCTTATCCCCCCCATAATCAAGGGTCCTATGGGGTGCCCAATAAAGATATGAAGTTTCCAATGGTTCTTCAGATTCAGAAACAAGGAGGATTAAGAATACTCGGTTGATTGCGACCCAGTGTAAACTAATAACAGATACATAAGAGTGATCCATCCAGATTCAAGATTGTCATGAGACGGGATGGACCCTATAAGCAAGGTGATGAAGTTAGTTAAATTCATGTCGTTGTTGGAGAAGAATTATGGCATCCCCATCAAAATTCAGATATATGAAAGACCTCAGGTGATTCTTCCAAGCAACTACAAGCATCGTCGTCTGCCACCTCAGGGGCTGCCACTATCATCTTTGTTACACGCATATATCAAAATCTCTGAAACAATGTTGCAGAATTCCCTGCAGATCCATAATAGTTGTGAATTAAGTAAAGCCATGCAGAGTCTTCAAAGGAGAACAAAATCATTCGGGGTAATGTAGAACAAATCCCCAAGGAAACCAGGCCATGGTAAGAAGAGTGCAGGCATTCCAAGGATATCTCCAAATTACCCAAGAATACATGCAGGGTTATGTCAAAGCGTTTTCCTACATAAGCACGGCTATCATTCCTGCAGTCTCGAAGCAGAGAGCAGGAATTAACTTCACATGCTGCAGAAATTCAAACCTCTCAGGGCCAAAATTATACAACAAAGCTATCATGCAACTTACTGCCATGGATCATCTCCAACTAGCATCACATCATCCTCGTTATCTGTATAAACAACTAGCCATCCTTTCTCAGGATCATTCAAAAGCCCTTCCATGTCAAACAGACGCTCCAACTCAGAAATCAGATCATCATACCCATCAAGCTTCGTTAGATCAATTGCCCTGCCTACAACACTCCCTTGCTTGTGAACCTGCAGTTTTTGTCTTATAACGAATATTTCATTGCAATATCAAAAGGCATAGGTCTTACAAGCACTCAGAAAGCTTACTTTTGTGCAACTATTTCCCACTGATTTGGCCAACACAGGGGATTTCAAATGTGATTGTTTTTCTTCAGATGGTTCAAGTGAAGGCTCCAAATCCAATTTCTCATTTGAAGGAGATGCAACTGGAGCAGTTGCATCCTTCTCATGTGTTGCACAAGATTCCTTAGTTAAAGGAAAACCAAATAGTCTGCAACCACTGCCACCTGTCAGAAGCAACTCTTGACTACCCCCCTTTAAAGCTGGTTGGCTCGCAAGAGAAGAAGCATATTGAGAAGTCAATTGAATATGTTCTTTAGAAGGATTTGTCGTATGATTGCCTCCAAGTTCTTCCATAGAGTGTTGGCCACACAGTGAAGATGGTACTATTTTCACACCTGATGTTTGAGAACCATACAGACCACAGTAGTTACCATCCACCCCCTTCTGATTATTGATGCCATAAGCAGAGCGAGGATATAGAATACTTGTTTGCTGGAACATTAGTACGGAAGATGGAGAAGACACTTGCACAGATGGTGTGGATGGTTGAACATGATTATTGAAGCCCTGCATCAGTGTAGTCCAACCATTTCCAGCACTTGACATGTGAACCCCATCAACATTTCCAAACCTGCCATTTTCATAGGCCAGATTGGCTCTTCCATATGGTGATTTTGGAAATATTTCTTGACCTTGCAAGACCTTATGGAACCTAACAGATTCACTAAAGCCTATTCCTGTAAATGGATAGTCTGAATTTCTAAGTGGGGTTCTTATGCCACTTCCTAAAGCAGCTATCTCGAAACTGTTTGAACCGGGATTGCATCTCCATGTCTCAGATGGATGATGATTCCGTGCATCAATACCATCAGGAGTACCGAAACCCAAAATTTCTTGACCTTGCAAGACCTTCTGGAACCTTAAAGATTCCCTAAAGTCTGAAAATCCTGTTCCATCTGTAAGAATTTCAGTTCAAAAACAATTAAATGTCAGGAGAGGGGATAAAAGATGAGACAAATTCCTGTGAAAAAGGATCTTGTTGGAAGCACAAAACAAAAACATACTAGGAACTGGAAAATCTGGTTTGGATGAAGGCAGAGTCATCCTGGTTTTTTTTGAACCAGGTGCAGACAAACTGCTGCAAGCTGAAACTGGACCCAATGGCTCAATCTCCCATGGAGAAACCCTATTATGCCGATTTGTCTCAAGATCATCATCCCACCTCACCTGTAGTACTCAACCAGAGATCAAGTTCCATTAATGTGATAATGAGGCTTAGGAATATGTACAATTCAGATACATCATTTCAACAATATTAAAAAGAGGGAGAAATAACATTTTATCCAAGCAAGGAAGTATGAAAGGTACAGAAAGAGAGAGAGAGAGAGAGAGAGAGAGAGCAAGGACCCTTGGGTCAAAGATAAGAGATCTGATTAACTGTCAAAAATTAGATTAAGGGGCCATTTTATAACAGCTGAACACCTCACCTGTAGCACTCAACCAGAAGATCAAGTTCCATTAATGTAACTGATAATGAGGTTAATACATCATTTTAATAATAATAATAATAATAAGGGAGAAATAACATTTTAGCCAAGCATGGAAAGTAAGAAAGGTACAGTGCGAGAGAGAGAGAGAGAGAGAGAGAGAGAGAGAGCAAGGACCCTTAGGTCAAAGATAAGAGATCTGTTAACAGACAAATTAGATTAAGGAGCCATTTTATAACAGCTCAATATGCTGAACTGAAAAGCTTATTTCTGTCTTTTAGTGAATAAGTCTGTCACAGATGCTAGAATTTGGATAAAGGACAAGAACTTAAGATCACAACCTTGGAAGAAAATAGGGCACAAAAGCCACCAAGAATGGAATACAGACTTTATTACTAGTGGTGGAGTGAAGCACCGACTTTCTTCATTTAGGCATCATGGTAGTCTTAGGATCAACATAGGTTTTACTTGTCTGACATTTTTAGTGTTTATTTTCAGAGGCATTTTGGTAATTCTACTTAATGTCATAGTCTGATAGGTACATGTTGTTAGTGTGCATATATGCATATATGAAGCATACACATTTGCAGTCTTAAGTCAAGGATATTTGGTAAATATGTGAACATACCAATAGGCATCTCCATTTTGAGCCAGGCCATCTAACAGGATCCATATCATTAATCCCAGTTACCAGACCAGTGTATCTACAACCAAAAGACAGATAAATAAGCATGCTTCTTTGACATTGCATTAAATTTGAATATCTTGCAAGAAATAGAATATGCCAAACCTTCGCTCTGCTGCATCTTCAGTTTCAAACCTCATTTTAAACTTCATTCCAATAGAAAATGGCAGTTTAAGGCTCTTATGAAATTTACGGAAAGGAACTATGAACTCAGACTGGCTTGCCCTGTAAAAGATGAAAGTGAAGTTAAGATGCATTTATAAACTGATAGGAAATAAATGTGTAGAAATTCAAGTTAGCCCCTTAAAAAGCAATGTACAAACTACAAACATCACTTCTGCAATTTGATGGCAATAGAGTATCAAGATGTTCATCAAGTAACTAGAGAACTAACAAAAATTACTTCTATATGAGACTAATACAACATGATGTTCGAGGAAATGCAAGGCGAGGTGGAATGACGGAAGAAGATATAATAGTTGCCAACTATTGAACAAATGCCAAAAATGAGCATTTAGTGTCGAACTTGTCTAGATAACAGTAAACAGAATAGCATGTAAAATCATTCAAGAAAATGGTAAGCATAAGCCCAGCCCAGACAAGTGATTGAGGCTGGAGAATAACAAACAAAAGCCTAAAAAAGAAATTAGTGGGATTGAGAATATGGAAAATCATGTTATCACAATCAACAAAATATGATCCATCAGGGACATATGGCCAAGAATATAAGCTTTGCACTTTCAATAATAACAACCACCTAAGTGAAAAGATTAAAATATGGAAAACCATAACCTATCAGATTGTTGACTCTTTTTTGACAATGGCATCACTTGACCTAGTACTAAACTACTAATGCAAATGAAAGATATAATACTGACTGAAACATAGGGAAGATAATCAAAAGCACAAAATCATAAAAAGTTCTAGTTATTTGGCTACTAATAACCTAGGCACTTTAAACCACAGCTTAGCTTATTTTGTAATTTGTTTTGCAATTTACTGCCAAACTTTCTAGCACATCCAGTACCTGATTGGGCAATGGCACTTGATTATACTGCCAAAAGTTTGAGCTGATTATGTATATCATTCTGAAACCCCTCCCCTTCCCAAAAAGATGGGAAAAAACAACAGAGTAAAAATTTATATAAATAAAGAACTAAAAAACACATCAAATTTCATTCAAGTTTAAATTATTAAATCACTATGGAATCAGTGGCATGCTATTACTGAGGTCCCACTCTTCTGCCTCAACAGGGACATCTTGTACACATGTTGTACACAAGCTAAGATGCAATCATTCAAAGCTTAATGTGATTGTATTATAGCAATTTCATATCCGAACATGTAACCAGCATTTGTTTGTTTGCAATTCATATTACTTTAAGTGCATGGTAGGACAAAAATGAGGCAATGAAATAACCATATGGACATAATCTCATCAAATTTCATGAAAACAAAATAAACAAATGGACATCTTAAACTTTCATAAGGCATAGTGTTAAGACATGAGAAAGATCTAGAAATACCAATGACTAGAAATGACCAATTAACACTCCCCAAATCCAGTTGCACATTTTCATTACAAATACACAGATTCCAATCAGAATATGATATGATTCTATAGGAAAGCAAATCGAATGATACCTTGGATTATAGTAAATGTTGAATACACTCTTTGTGGACACAGCACTGGCCACAGCTGTGAGACTCCCACCATTCATGCTCTGGCTACAGAGAACTGGAAAAGGAATACCACCTTTCACTTGAGCAGCTCTCCGGATTCCCAATCTCAATTCCCCATTGTCACCTCTGCCAGAAAAGTTGAAGATTATCTCCAAGAATAATAGCATTTAAAATTTCTGCAGGTTTAGATTTCCGCACCTGAGAAAGAGGACAGCATCCCCAGAGACTAGCTTCTTCTTATTGACAAATGCACTCCATCCAGTTGTAAGCAAATGTCTCCGTGGCTGACCTGCATAATTAATGGTGATAAGACACCGGAGATA